ATTTGGGATTTGGGATTTGGGATTTGCCTAAACCCTAGACCCTGAATCATAAACCCAAAACCCTAAACCGGAAACCCTGAACCCAGAACCCTATGAACCAACCCATATTTCTAAGCTTTGCCTTCTCCTTTCCTTCCAACTGCATTCCCACGCCCACTCCAGTATGCGACCCCTGTGTGTTTCCCTCTTTTCAGGTGCATGGCCCCTCCTCCAGGGTCTAGGGTTTAGGGTTTAGGGTTTGTGAGCAGGGCATGACTGTGTGGTGCGACTCTGCCCCTAGCGTGCTGAAAAACCCCTCATGTCTTTACGCCAAATGCACCGTTTTGGAGATCATGAGTAACCAGACAGTTAAATTAAAGGAAATTGCCGAACCAGGCAGAGAGGTTAGTCCCGCTGCTGCTGCTGCTGCTACTGCTGCTGTTGCTGCTGCTGCTACTGTGTTTGGCTGGCTGCTGCTATATTTTTGATGCGACTGCCCCCACCTCTGTTGCTGTTTGTGCTGCTGCTGCCCCTCGTATCTTTACGCCAAATGCATCGCTTTGGAGATCATAAATAACCAGACAGTTAAATTAAAGGAAAACGCCGAACCAGGCAAAGAGCTTAGTCCCGCTGCTGCTGCTGCTGCTACTGCTGCTACTGTGTGTGGCTGGCTGCTGCTATATTTTTGATGCGACTGCCCCCACCTCTGTTGCTGTTTGTGCTGCTGCTGCCGCTACTGGTGTCTGCGTGTGGCTGTGCTGCTATATTTTTGATGCGACTGCCCCCACCTCTGTTGCTGTTTGTGCTGCTGCTGCTGCTACTGGTGTCTGCGTGTGGCTGTTGCTGCTCCGCGGTTTGCTGTTTCTACAAGTGCTGCTGCTGTTGCTACCCTTCTGCTCCTGCTTCCCTGCTGCTGCTGCTGCTTCCCTGCTGCTGCTGCTGCTTCCCTGGTGCTTCGCTGCTGCTTACCTGGTGCCGCCTCCCCGCCGCTACTGCTTCTCTGCTGATGCTGCTTCTTTGCTGCTACTGCCTCTTTGCTGCTGCTGCTTCTTTGCTGCTGCTGCTTGCCTGCTGCTTCCCTGCTGCTTCCCCGGTGCTGCTTCCCTGCTGCTGCCGCTGCTGCTGCCGCTGCTGCTGTTGCTGCTGCTAGCATTTGCTGCTGCTGAGCCCTGTGTTGCGAGCAGTTCGTCTCGAAGCCCTCGCAAATATACCACCGCAGCGAGGGCTGAGATTTGCTGAACACTCCAGATGTGGGTCTTTTGTCGCACCCAAGTGCTGCTTCAGTGCTGGAGATGCTCCGTGCCCGTTACATGCAAGACGCCATTTACGTGAGCAGCAGCAAGCAGCAGCACACTGCAGCGGCAGCAAAGCCCTGGAGCAGCAGCAAATACTGCAGCAGCAGCGAAACACACAGCAGCTGCTGCTGCAGCAGGCCGCAGCGCGAGCAGCAGCAGAAGGAACTAGGGCAGATACAGCGGGCAGCAGCTGCTGCGGGAGGCCGCAGCGGATGCAGCAGCAGAAGAAGCTAGAGCAGATATAGGCAGCAGCAGCTGCTGCGGCAGGCCGCAGCATGAGCAGCAGCAGGAGTAGCAGAGAACAGTCTAAGGCAGCTGCAGCAGCGTCAGCCGCCGGCATAGGGAGCAGTAGCGCAAGAACGAAGAATAGCTAGCCGCAGCTGCAGCCGCAGCACCAGCCGCAGCAGCAGCAGCAGCAGCAGCGGGAGGGCGTCTGCGGTAGTGGGTGTTGCGTGCGGGTGTGCGCACAGACACTGGCGGACCCTCTGTTGATTTCAATAAACCCTTTTGGATGGTCTGGGAGTTCTTTGAAAGAAAAGGTTCGAGACTGCAGTCACGCATAAATGAATGAATAAATATAGGTGATTAAGTATATATATCGAATTTGTTCAAGTGTTGAAAATGTGTGTTTGCTGCTGCAGCAAGCTTGCGAGCTGCTGTCCCTGGAAGCCGCAGTTGTTGAAGAGGCGCTGCTGCGGCGGGTGACAGTGTCGGGGACGCAGGCGGTGGCGGGGCGGTGGCGGCAGCAGCAGGCGGAGCTGCAGCAGCAGTCGCTGTGCAAGGGCGTTCACGAGCGGCTTTTTCTCTGGATCAACAAGCAAATCAACAAAAACATCAACAAAAAACAGAGCCTCGACACTTTCGTCGGTGCGCACCCAGCTAGCCAGCTAGCCAGCTAGCCAGCTAGCCAGCTAGCCCGCTAACCAGCTAGCTAGCTAGACAGATAGCCAGATAGCCAGCTAGCCAGCTAGGGAGCGGCCAGCCAGCATACCAGCAGCTAGCGAGACAGCTGACCTACAAACAAGCTAGCCAGCAAACAAGCTAGCCAGCGCGCTAGCCAGCCAGCCAGTCAACCTGCTAGTCAGCCAGATAACCAGCTAGCTAATCAACCAGCCAGCCTGCCAGAGGAAGACTTTAAAGGTAGTTAGCGGCGCAATCGGCAATGTAGGCGACAATATATGGACGTACGCATGTATTCTGCCACGCGTAGATGCAAACGTACATGTATGTGTAAACATTCATGCATTCATGTATTTCTCCATACGCTTTTTTGTATACGTACATTTGAATACTTCTAAGTATTTATGTTCAGACCCTAGTGGTCGAGAGCGTAACGCTTAAACTTTCCTACAGCTTGACGTTAGAAGCCTGTCTTTTCCCTTTATCTTTCCCTACAAAAGACAGTCTTTACCAAAGGCTTGCCAGGCTTTTTGCACAAAGCCGCGAGACCACTGAGCGTATATAGATACGCAAGAGGCGATACTGCAGTGTCGTCAGCAGCTGCAGCAGCAGCTGCTGGCCTCTTGGACGAGGATGGTGCTGGAACAGAAGCGAACCAAGGTCTAAGCGAGATAAACAGGAGAAGCAGCGGGACCGGGCAGACACGACAGCAGCAGCCTGGTCCGACCGCTGCGTAGCAACCTAAATATTCTCCAGGATTTTCTGTGGGACAGGTGTCTTGCAAGCCCATCACGTGGTGACGGCTTCTTTTCGTTGAAACCTCCCGCTGCTTCAACGGGATATGCACCAGCAACCGTGGCTGCAGGAGCAGCGATAGCACGAGCACCTGCTCAAAAGCAGTAAGCAATACAGCAGCTGAACAGTAGCAGTTGCGGCAGTTAGTTTTGGCTATCAGGGACAAACGGAAGACAGCATGCGCCCGTGAACATTGTAGGGGCGCTTTGCGACGAGGAAGCA